AAGGCGGCATCGCTGGCCTCCCCCAGGCGCGACCAGCTACGATTGTCCTGCCACATCATCCGCAAAATGTACAGTCGCTTAGTCGTTCGATAGCGCATGGTAAACACGGTACGTCGTAGGTTGGGATCCCCAGGCGGAGGGGATTATATCTCAAAAAATGCTTCTCAACACCACAACGTGAGAATGTGCTCTGGTGATAAGGGTGCCACGGGTCAGAGGTATGAAATCGGCTCGTCAGCTTGTGGCTTGTCTCTGGCCCTGCTCTATTCTCTGTAGGCAACACATCGTGAGGGATCGCTGTTGTGCTTGCTGTCTACCCTTACACTGTTTCTGCAGCAATACACTTCAACCGATGCCTGGTGCCTTATCCGCGCGCTCAGTTCGCGGTCTCGCTTACTTGCATAGTCGTCGGAAGCTCGAGAACAACTGCCAAATTAAGGCCCTATTGAGGTGATTTCTAACGCTTCCTCTGTCTCTCCGGGAAACGGGCAAGAGTATCGGAAACTGCAGCTTCGTCGCGCGCGGCAGTAAACGCGACGTTTCCTTAATTTGCACTACCTTTTCGATTGGAGCATCGGATGTCATGTAGACAGGTAAATGGTGGACAACCACCAAAAATCGTCGCCATTAGGAGGCGCAACGTCGCACGCGACGCCCACTGGCGCGGCGAATGGCGATTCTCTTGCCACATACCCGTCTTTTCCTTCACTGATGTGTCAGTTCCTCGTTCGTATTTGGGGGTCACTTATCGCCGGATGAGTCTTCGAAGTTCAGCAATACTATGCACCTTTTGCCCTCTCTCTACTTCCAGTTTGGTATAACTTGCTTCAATAGGGTCAGCATTCATATATACTCGAGATCCCTGAGATCGGGTAGGCGGGGCTGCATTCAACTTAACCTGAAGGTGTCTATGCTTCTGGTGGAATATTTCCATCTTGACACAACTGTTGTCGTGTCTCTGTCCAACACAGAACAAGATGACAGTTGTCCCAGACTGGAATATTCCACGAGTAACCAGTTCCGTGCCATGTTCAAATGCCACGCCTACTCTGGCTCAGGGATAAGGAGTGTACATATGAAATACATGGCCAGCTCACCTGGTGTGTCGCCCTGAAGACACAGCCCAAGATTGCAGGCAGTGGGTTCAAGTACTGTCTTGCTCGCTGCGGACTTTGTGGTGTTCAAAGCACGCTGGGTTTCAGCCCATTCTCCACAACTGTATACGCTTACCCGCTTTAACAACTGGTGGAGAAGCTGGCGGGGAGCCAGACCCAGGCACCTGACACGCCCGATCATTCGCAGCCAGTAAGACTGTATGGCTCTCAAGAAGCCAGTTGACTCGCACATGATAAGATAGCATAGATTTCAAGAGTGTGGGCGACAGCCCACGGTCTTACGCGCAACAAGGGCGAAATTGCAGCGCCTTGCAGTTATGTAAATTCGTTAGCATTTACAGATGAAATCGTCGCAAGCAAGGGGGCCGGTATCAAGGCATATGAATAAAATGAAATGCCCACCCGCGCTGTTTTCTACCACTGGTAATTTTGGGCCCGAGCTAGCCACAATTGGTAGGAAAATGCTGTCGGGGGCCGGCTCACTCTGCCCTTTCAGACACCCCCTCCCCGCACTGCAACGATATCAACAGTATCAACAGTACACCTGACATGGTCAGCAAACCCCTAGCTCCCTTTCCACGCACTTTCGGCTGCAATATGCAACATATATAATATATATGCTCAGGGACATCCTGTCAGTGGGGAAAATTTTTGCAAAAGACCCCCGCCTTCTTGTCTGTTACGACCAACCTCTCCACATTCTGCCTACCATTTTAATAATATCTTCCTGAATTTTCACAAATTCCTACCCCTTTTTTCCCAGAGTTTGCTGTTCGATTTCATAGAGAAATTGCGACCCCTCCCCTCAGCGACCGAATACGGCCCCCTTCGTTTTGAATCCCCAGCATACAACGTGCCCTGATGCAGCAATGGATCTGCATGCTTGCAAAAGGTATCAAACTACGTCCCGTTCCATGAAGCATAGCCTCGCGGCAGGGAGCAGAGGTAGATAGCCTTTCCTGCGCACGCATATAGATGCGCTAAGATTTGCGCAGCGCGCTGCGCTAACAACTGCTCGGCAGCCGCTCGCGTCTCAGCAGTGCTTTTCGCACATTTTCACTTTGAACCCGACTATTCCTTCAAGTGTATGGTTAATACGTGTCTTTATTTATGTTAGATTCTATTTTCGTATTATCTACAGTATTAATAACAATTACTTCGTACATGTACCTCTACTCTACATAACATACATATCGATCTGATAAGGTAGGATGATAACGGAAATAAACGATCCCTTATTAGTTAACGAGTATAATACATATTATTAAGGCACTACTAAGGTTACTAGTAAGTACGTTTCCGTTAGATGAGTGGGCGCAGTTCGGCTTGGCGGGGGCATCTAACTGGTTCTGTGAAGACCTGTAAACTCTTGTAAAGCTTCATGAGCTTTATTTACGTTCTCAAGAGTATACAGGTTACACCAAGGCGTGAAATTTGACAGAAACTAGAAAAGTGCGAAATGCCCCTCCCAAGCCGAACAGCGCCAACGAGGGTACATGTCGACCACCTTTTTTGCTATTTTTATCTACAATAATACATTTCTCCACGCATTAGAGGCATTTTGCCCCACATATGGGACAGTCTTCTACATTTGTGGAGTGAATCGCTCTACACGCGTCGTCGAACCCCTCGAAACTAACCGGTTTCAATATTACTGTAATCGATAAAAGTTCGTCGCGCGTAAAAACATCGTCGCTGACTAATTTAACAGAAAAGACTGAACGAGCTAGCGACAACGACGAGAGCACGAGAATGCCACGAAACGAGAGAGTACTGAATCGTTGGATACGAGGGAACCGGTTAGCCGCCAAATAGTAATTTGGCGCAATCGTCGTCGAATCGAGCCATGTCGAAAAACCGTAACAAATGCAATCCTTCCAATTCTTGAGCGGCACAAATCTGAAATCACAACATGTTTGGTGCAAAATGTTCATCATTGACAGTTGCAGTAGTTGTATGGATACATTCAGTACTGCACTTCTATTGGAAACAAACTGTACTCAGAGTACAGCATCGTTGTGTGAAACACCTGGAGAGGAACGTACTTGGCCGCTGGGGAAGGAGAGCGCGGGTCGTATGTGTCTTTGGGAGAAATTTGCCGCGTTGGGAAAAATTGCCCACGGATGTTGACTTTTTGCCGTTTTTCCAGTTTCATATTGGCTATATGTATATTCTCCGCGCCCCCTCCCATCCCTCCTCCTCCTCAGGGCACATCGTTGTTGGGGAATCCCCAACAGGGGGGTCGTATTTGGGCTGAGAAAAATTTATTTTGATAGTTGATTTTTCTCGCTTCATGGACGTTGTAAAGGGGGGAGGGGTCGTACTTGGTCATTGTTGGGATGGAATAGGGGGGGGGGGTCGTATTTACTTTTTGGCCTTCTAGGAGTGGTGGTTGACTTTTCGTGATTTTCCTGTTTCATGCGTACTATATACCCCCCCCCTTCCCCCTCCGCTCGACGGCTCGATTCGATGAGGAGGGACAGAGGGGGGTCGTACCAACTCCCAAAAAAAGGGGGGGGTCGGTACGGACTCGATCTAAAATCCCCAACCAATGATGTGCCCTGCTCCCGGCGGGAAGTCTTAGGGTAAAAAACTGGCAGGGAGCTGACAGTAGGAAAGTGCCAGAGGTGTTGGAGGACAAATACAATAAGGCTCGAAACCTTTCTTGAAAGGGACTGCTTAATTTCCGGTTGTTTCGACGGTTTTTCGACTTTTCCGGGACTTTCTAGCAATTTCAAATACTTCCCATGTCTGCAAATTTGGAGAGGAATTCCCTTTGCACAAACACCCTGTTTCTGGAAGTAATTCGCATTTACTGAATTACAGCATCGGTCAATGACACGTTCTCAACGAGTTATGACTTCCCACTGTACCAGTCGACTTCATTCCCTGGAACTTTGGAAATCGCAAGTTGCGAAAGTGAATCATGTGGTTTCTAAGCTGATTCGAGCAAGGGCAATAGCTGGTGCCTTTGCTCTGATTCGGTGACGCTAACGTTGAAGATCGAGATGATTAGGGGTCAGGCGCCAAAATTGTTATGGTGCCTAGACATCCATATTTCAGTTTCGTGGTTGGTCGAATCCGCAAAAGGGCAGGACTGGATATTTGCAGGTCGTACGCGGTGGTTCTCAAGTGTGAATCTGCAATCGCTTAGTGAAGCGCTATTGATAGAAGAGGAAAAGCAGCCAAAATGCCCCAAATGGATTACAATATTGGCGAGGGGCGAGCAGACACTGTAAGCGCGGGCGAGATATTAGAGAGCGAGGATGAGAGAACAGAAGAGTAATCGAGGTGACAGACACCACCAGGTGTCAACCAATGCGGGCCGGTGTGAGCATTGCACCAGGTTGAAAACCCGTAGCGTGCTCGCAACACCTTTTAGAGCCACGTCCGTAATAGGGAACACCTTTTAAGTGGCACGAGTACAATTACCTAGACTTAGCTAGCCGGCTAGCCGCCAAATTTACCGTTGAAATCGGATACATTGTATAAATGAGAACAACGTACAGCTACTCCTCCGCTCAACATCAGCAAATCGCTCAGTCGTTCTTCGGGATTCTCCTCTCCACTGGCAATATAAAAAGCATGTAATCCCATGAGAACTTTGTCTCGTACATCTGACAGAAGTCGCAGTTCATCAGGATTTGCTAATGGTACGGTTTCTGATTCACGTATGATCGTTGGCTCTGGAATACATTGCTTTCGATTAAGCTTTTCATATGCATGTGTCTAAGAATGAGTATTGATTTTACGCGTATACATACAAGACTACTCACTCATCAGCATGATCACTTTCAATGCTGCAACTTCTTCAGGGGTTGGTCGGAGTTTCCGTAACGGTTGTGCGATTTCATCGATCAACAGAGAGGTCAGTGGATAGAGCAGTCCTTGAAATTTCCAACATTTCCTTACTAACTGATCGGTCATCGTAATCAATAATCGACTTACTCTTGTGCTTTTGTGGTTTTTGGCGTGAGATGCAGTTTGATCTCTTCAGGAATCGCCTCCACATGCCGCACAAGACATGTACGATCCGACAGAAACCAGACGTTATCATGAGCAGGCATCTGTGCGGTGAACAGTCCGTGCTCGATGGTTACAAACATCAGGCAGAATCGATGCAGCAGGTGGCGCTGAAATGCAGAAATATTAAGATCGAATTATCGATTTTACGCGCTCGTCCTAAGCGACAGTCGCACCCTGAGGACGACTGACCAATAGTCAACTGAAATTCATTTTGACACTTTTCATGTACAACTAATTCGAAAAGTATTTTTGCTGATAATTTGACTGTAGGGTTAACTAGCGCCTTCATCACTAATATGACACCCGTTCTGGCGCCATTTGGCGCCATCAGCTTTCTCAGCAAATCGATGTCAACAGCACGCTGGGGTTATTTGATGTTGATTATCATGTGACATCCATTTTCAGCGCCAGGTTCGACTTGGCGCCACGACCCTTCCTGCTCAATTCGCCACTTTTGCATTCGACGTTGGCAGGGGGACCCGATCACGAATATGGCATTCATTTTTGGACACCTGCACCATGCTGCGTTTTGATAAGGTGAGCCCGCGGAAGGACACACATCCCCGAGCTCAGCCTTAGCAGAGTGCAGACGACCAGAGTGCCCTTACGTTAACATCTGCGCTAAAGATGATTGCCACGTCCGTAATAAGGATCCCAAGTAACTCTAGTAAAATCAAGTTCATCAGAATTTTGGTGAACAAGTGGTGCGGTCAAGTTGGTACCTGCACCATTAGGGGGGCGCAATGGCGCCGGCGTCAAAACTGATTGCTTACAAATCGCTAGGAGTTGCATAGCGCTCAAAAACGATTCTGTTGTATTTATTG